GACATTTTCAGCAGTGTGCAGCACAGGGCGTGTAGCCTCTGTTTTGTCTTAAGGTCTTACAGCTAATCTACTTGGGTGATTGGATCACCGGGCTGGGGATAACACACTTACTGCAGCCCCTGGCTAATGCCATCTTAGCAGGAGAGGACAGGACGCGGCTCCCCAAGGGCATGGGCTGGTCCAGGGCATGGGAGCAGGGCAGAGCACCGGCCCAGTGCCGGTGGAGGTAGCCAGACCTCCCCACGCTCATCAGGCTGGGCTCTGCTCCGTGTCCCACCGGTGCCTGCTTTGGGAACGCTCTCCATCTCCGGACACGTTACCTTGGTTGGCTTTCTTGTCCAAGTCCATCTGCTCCATCCAGAGAATAACTCCTTTCTTGCTGTTCGCAGCAGCTGAGTTGGGGAAAAGCCTCCAAAGTTTCCAACCCACCCAAAAGAGAAGTGCAAGAGAACGACTGAAAACCCGTACGGGGCTGGGAGCCCAGCGGAGCCATCCCTGCGCTCGCCTACTCCCCAGCCCTCAGCGGGCATGGCCGTCTCCATCCTTACAGAGGGATTTACCCAAGGCCACGAAAGGTATCGGGGTCAGCGCGGGGATTAAGCCAAGCCCCGCTGCCCAACGTCTCCCCGCTGCCCTCGGCTCTTCCTCCTGGCCGAGCTCGCCCGTGGCTGCACCGCGGTCCCGTGGAACCCGCCGGCTGCGGCACTGCGGCGTGGTAAGTGTCGACGGGGCATCAAAGCTGTCTCAGGTCTGAACTTCGTAGTTTATGAACACAGATTTCAGGAACAGATGATAAACATGCTTATTTGAAACCAACTGCATTATCAACCACATTAATAAAACCATGGCAGAACACGGCCCTTTGTGGAAGATAAAGCCAACTTCTCCAAAAACCCTCCACCGACCGTACCAACACCAAGAAAGCTTTCAAGAGTGGTAAAGACAATTTTTATTCAGGCAATGAAATATGGAAAAAAATATATTAGTAATCATTATAATAATCTCATTTGTGTGAGTATAACTCTTACAAATATTTACCTGACATATAAAAGGGAAATTATGGTACATATAAAATTGATGGTGACGGCAGTTACATACATGGTACAAAGCGATCGGTAGTAGTCAATGCAGAGAAAGTTCCTGCCTCTGGAGGGACGGGTGGAAGCGATCCGCAGTCGGGGTGGTTACTCGTTGGCACTTCACTGTAGACAGAGATCTGCTGGCAAATGCACACTTGCAAACAGCAACACTAGTGGCTTACGGGCAGCCCCCCGCCACTGCCAGAAAGGGATATTTAAACTCTACGGCAAGAAAAAAAGACGACAAACACAACCAGGCTGTGATCCCGATGCACGGCTATCTGCAGGGTCTCCCTGGTTACATATCTCGGCTGGAAGAGCCGGGGGGCGGTTTAACGCCCCCGTCTTTTAAAACTGGGGGAGGG